TGATACTAATGATTTCTGTGTTCCATTGAGTCACCTCTCTTTGGAATGGTCATAAATATGAATCTCTTCCAATTGGCTGATCAGGTAGCTGTCTTCCAAATTTCTTGGCACAGATGAGTGATCACCTCCAGTGTTTCATCAATTGTCTGAAAGATTTCAATTTACATCCCATCCATTCCTGGAGCCTTGTTTTTCACCAATGCCTTCAGTGCAGCTTAGACTTGTTCCTTCATTAAAATTGATCATAGGCTACCTCTTGAAATGGTTGAACATTGCTCATTGCTTTTGGTACAGTGACTCCACATATCCCTTCCACCTTCTTTTGATGCTTTCTGTATCATTCAATACTTTGCCCATGTTGTTGCTGTTAACTGCCATCAAGTCAGTTCAACTCATAGCAACCCTGTATAGGATTTCTGAGGAGTAGTTGGTGAGCTTGAACCACCAACCTTGAAATTCAAATGACCTTGAAGCCCAGCGTCACACCAAGAATCCTTCAATATTTCAAGCCAAGCCGAGGCTTTGATTTTTTCTTCAGTTTTTTCACCTTGAAACATGCAGAGTGTGTTCTTCCCTTTTGTTTTTCTAATTCCAGGTATTCACACATTTCATTGTAATGCTTGACTTTGTCTTCTTGAGCTGCCCTTTGAAATGTTCTGTTCAGCTCTTTTACTTCCTCATTTCTTCTATTCACTTTAGCTTCTCTACACTGGAAAGCAAGTTTAGGAGAGGTTGGGCCAGCAAATATCTAGGTTCTCAGCCGCTTTTTGGTTTCAGGTCTCTACGCTACCAGGAGCTCTGGTAGCATAGTGGTTATGAATCGGGCTGCTAACCTTAGGGTCAGAAGTTTGAAACTACCAGTTGCTCTGTGGGAGCAAGATGAGGCATTCTACTCTTGTAAAGATTTACAACCTCAGAAACCTTGTACAGGGTCACTATGAGTCGGAACTGACTCCACAGTACGTAACCACCACCACCACGCAAGAAATTAGCCAAAAGGAGAAAGACATTGCAACCACCATCTGGTCTCAGAACAATGCTGTCTTCATTTTCATTTTAATGATGTAGCCTCAGGAAATATAAACCAGAAGGTTCAGGTCCCTGGGTCCTCATAGCCAGGCATTTTCCACTCCCTGGTTAAGACATGGCACGGCTAATCCTAAACCTAGGAGGAAGGGGTCTGTGAGAGAGGGTTCTGGAAGTAAGGAGCACACACAGGAAATGCTCTGTGTAGGCCAGGGAGAGATCAGCTCTTAGGGAATAGAAAGAGCAGCACTTGTGGCAGAATTTACATAAGACAGCTTACTTCTCTGAGCCTCAGGTTTCCCAATGCTATGCCCAGAATTCGGGGTCCCCAAAGACCACCCAGGAGCCGTGTACCGATATAAATACATAAGGGTAGTTTATTCAAGCTCGAGCCAGGTCTCTAACCTTATCCAATGCAGCGGAATAGGGAAAGAGCCTCGAACTTATTGTCTGCAGGGTTTTTATAGAGTTTTCTAACAGCTCAGGTTTCTCAGCTTTACAATCTTTGGATTGGTTAACAATTGGCAAATTATGAGATGTTACAGTTTAATTGGTCGGGACTGGTGGTCTTTGTTCTTAGGCTAGGGTAAAGGAAAACATCTGGCTTCTGGCCTTGAGCTGCCTGGCTATTTATACATATATCATTTTCTTGGAGCTAGAGGATGTGCTAAAGCTTATATACGAAATGGATTCTTCTCTTTGGTCCTACACCATCTGTAAAATGGGAACGATAATCAGAGTTGTAGTGAGGGACAGAGGAGACAATGGATGTACAGGTACCCACATGTGAGACACAGGGAGACAGTTTAGGGATGCACGAACATGGCAATAGGTTAATGAAGGTATTTCTTTTTTAATCCTTAAGATTTCTTGAAGGGGAAAGTCTCTGTTTAAGACTGGGTGCATGGATGCTACAAATGGTTCAGTTCTCAGCCATTAAACAAAGTCCATGCAGAGGCACCTAGGTAATCTAGTTCTGAAAAATCCGCTGTGGAGCCCAGTTCTACTTTACACACAAGGGGGCGCCATAAGGCAGAGCCAACTCCATGGAAACCAGTTAGCTTTCACTGGTTAATTTCTTCCTGTGCTGAGAGGGAGCCATGCCTGCGTTCAATCTAGTCAGCATTTAACAACATGGGCTTTGTGTCCACTGGGCTTACTTTTTATACCTACCTTCTGGTGATGACAAGTGAAGGCGGATTTCTATTTATGGTACCGATGGAAACTGCTCTATTATAAAACACATATATATGTTTTTCAAGGTGACTATGGGTACACGGTTTCCTTATGGGGTGATCAAATGTTCTAAAATTGATGGTGTGATGGTTTTACAACTCCAAATATACAAAAAACAACAACAAAAAAAAAAAACACATTGGATTGTTTTTACGAGAGAGAGATGCGTTTAAAGAAACCCATGAAATAATGGTTCACAACACTCATAAATATACAAGAATTGTGATGGTAGGCCTTGAATAACTGAAGTCTAAGGGACAAAGAAATTAGATTCCCTTCCATAATCCACCCCGTTTACAAAAAGAAATGAGAGTGTGCTCTATTTGAGGTTAAAAGTTCAGTAGAGGTCCTGATGTGGCACTGAAACATAAGGACTGTACTACCAACAGGAAAGTTGATGGTTCAAACCCACCAGCCACTTCTCAGAAACCATATACAGGGTACCTAACAACAACAATGTGAGTTGGCACCAGCTCAACGACACTTAACAACAATAACAATGGTCCTTGAACTTGGAATTTTACCTCCTAATGGTGCAGTGAGTTAAGCATATGCTAACCAAAGAGGGGACAGTTCAAACCCACCAGCTGCTCCTCTAGAGCAAGAGGAGACTGTCTGCTCCTGAAAAAATTTACAGTCTTGGAAACCCTGTGGAGCAGTTATGCTCTGCTGTATACAATTGCTCTGAGTCCGAATCGAATCAGCAGCAGCACGCTTGATTGGAGTTTATGGCAGAGAACTTTCATGCTAGAAGAATCTTTGTGGATCATCTCACTCAAGCCCTCATGTGATAAATGGAGAAACTGAGGCCCAGATTAGTAAAGGGGCTTATTGAGTTACCCAGCAGGCCCTTGACTGAGATGAGACTAGAACCTAGGTCTCATGCCATCATCCCATTGCCCAAGCCATGCACCCCCCAGCCAGGTCCCACCTCCTCCCCTGGGAGTCTGAGGACAGGAATGAGGCCAATTTCTATCTATGTCCAACCCCCACTCTCTGAGTCTGGCTCTCGAAACATATTGTCCCCTCTAGTCTATGAAACAACCATGCAAACTCTACCCCTGTCCCCACCCTGGGGACCTCAAGAGGAAGTTCAAAGTCACGTCCTTCCCCTTCCCACAGGCCCAACCCCATTGTACTCATCCATTCCTTCCTTCGTTCACTCCACAGGTAAAGCTGCTGCTTCTGGAGACGGAACACCACGAGCGAACCCCAACACCGTCCCTGACGTCTCAGGGCTTGTGCTCTGGTGGGTGGGACAGGTACTGATC